AGTTAGATTCATTCTCTTGCTTCCTACATGTAACACTTCCTGCTTACTTTCACTCTTATCTGATAAAGCCTTTTCATAAGCGCACAACTGACTCGTCAGATTGTCTATGGTTCTGTCCTTGTTTGACATCAACATCCAACTAGACTTGAATGAAAAGTATTCAGCTGGTAGGGTCTCCAAAATTTTGCAAATAAGTAGGATTTCAGGTAGATCACACTTATTACAGTTGTTTCCAGTAGATATTTTATCTTTGGAGATCTCTTTTTGTAAATTGTTCCATAAATTCTTTAGTTTCGAAGTATGCGTTGCAATGTCATCATCTGCTTGTCTGACGTAACTGAAGAATTGCATGCACATATCATAAGTTTTGTCCTCGATGCTTCCATCATACAATCGATGCAGTTCTAACCAAACTTCTCTCGCAGTAGTGAATCGCATAACTTTTTCTAGAGTTTCTTGTGTCATATTCACAGTCATAATGAGTAGAACATTACTCTCAACTTGATTGAAGTCAGCCAAATCCTTGATATACTTGGATTTCTCTTCTGTTGTTGCATTATCAGGAACAGGTGTTGGTTTCTGCAGTCCACCTTCTATCATCTCCAATCCATTTTTGATTCCTCTCAACAGAATGCAAAGCTTGTATTTCCAAGTAATCCAATTTGATTTTCTTTCCAGTAATCCTATCTGCACTTTACTTGCATCCATTTTTCTCTGGACTAAGATACGATCACCTTCTATAGGAAAAACTTGATCTCTAGCTTTAACAAAATTTCTGACTGGATATTTCCTAACTACTACTTCCAGACGTAGGACTTCAATTACTGTAGCGGGAACCACGCTCTGCTACCATGTTGAAGTTTTATTCGTGGAAACTTGTAGTATTTTATTAAGGAAACGTTGACACTCTCGTGACAAATTATTTTTATTGACAATGACTAACTCATATAATGGACGATCTACAGTATGACCAAAATATAGAAATGTTCTGCTTTCAGCTTCAACACTTGGCAGTGATTTTTAACCAACAGCAGAAGTTTCAGTTCGAGCCGTGTCATGTGAAAACGGCCGACGATGCGTTCAAATCTCCGAGAGATCTGAATTCGCGACGCTCAAATGAACTTATGTGGATTTTTTAGTGTCACTCACTATGAAATTTATAGCTACAATAATTCCTCAAAAACGTTTATTGTATAAAATGTGAAAACACTCATGAACATATCTGAATCTAATTATTGTTGGAATGGGTTTTCACATGACATTCAATGCACATAGAAGGCATCTCTTGGCAACCTTCTCAATGCGTCCGCACTCTCTTCACCTCATTTTTAGCTCCCTTTCTTGTACATATTGTTTCACGAGATTTTTGTAACAAATTAAACAATTTTTCTAGCTTTCGGTGTTTTATCCTTTTGCTGTTATAGCAAATGTTCCCACCCCTGTGAGTTTATCGATAAATTGATAACTAATAGGAGTATATCATGCACTTTTACTTATAGACATTGAAAAAAATTGCATTGTAAGGCCGCGTCGGTCGATTTCAGCTGACATCCTCTTATGCTCTTCTGTACACCAGAACGACTTTACAATGTCTGAGCAGCAATAGGCTGACCACTTAGATGCCCCCTACTCTGAAAACTTCGCGTGGCCTGACGCGTTCGAACCAATGAAAATGCATCGGCTCAGCACGAGATCAAGCTGTCGGTCAAAAATTACTGACATGGCAGTCAGAGTGTTGAATTAAATGCAAGTTTTGGAACGTTCAATAGCTCCGGTAGGTAGAAAATCGTGATTTTGAAAGATAAAACAAGAAACACTATTTTATGTTGAATTCATGCATCGTTTCCGAGTAAATAATTATTACGTTCGGAAAAATGCTGTCATAGGAATATGAAAATGTACATAATTATGGGGGTCTGAAACCATGAAGAACAATATTATAGGGCAGACAAAGAGACTGGAAGGGAACAGAGGCGGAGAAGAAAATATACGCTCACTATCCCGACAAGGAAAGAATGGGAGCGCAGTGAGTTTAACTTCATACCAAACAGTCTGGTTTGTTATACAAACGGACCGCGTATGACAGAGAATGCGGGAGCGGGAATCTACCTTGAAGGATGCGGGGTGCTAGAGAGTTTTGCTATCGGGAAGTATCCAACGGTATTCCAGACAGAAGTATTCGCAATCCATGCGGTAGCATATATATGTTCCGATAGCCAGGCAGCACTTGAGGCAGTATGTTCCCCCAGGACTAGATCAGCTCTAGTTCAGGAGTACGGAGATGCCCTTGAAAAACTTGCATGAAACAAGAAAGTAACACTGATGGGGATCCCGGGACAAAGGGGGATTCAAGGCAACGAGAGGGCGGACGAACTCGCCAGGCTCGGTGCCAAGATACCATTTCATGGCGCGGAACCTACATTAGGCATCACAAGAAGCCGAATTTCATCCCCACTCAACGAGTTGGTGTGGAGAAAATTCAAAGAGAACTGGAGGGACTGTGTGGGGTGCAGGTAAGGAAAATATTTGATAACCACCCCTCATAAAGAGAGAACGATGTGGCTGCTGAGCAAAGGTCGACAAGAAGTCAAACTCCTAATTGGAATCTCTACCGGTCACTGCAAACTCAGCAGACACCTCTCGATAATGGGTATAGTAGAGAACCCAACACGCCAGAGATGCGAGGAAGAGAAAGAGCTATCTTTTCACTTCCTAGGAGAATGTGAAGCGATCAGCAGACTAAGATTCAACATTTTTGGAACTGAAACGCTTCAGAGAGAAGAGATGAACTCTCTCGATTGGTCGGACTCGCTAGCTTTCATCAGAATGTCTAGAAGGTTCGCCGAAGTAGCCGAGTAACGGGGTAAGGTGTAGGTTGCCGGGGTCGGCAGAAAGGGCCCAAGAGGGCCTACTTGCCTGGTTTGGTCCTTCTCACCATCACTGCTACTACTACTATGTGGCTAGTTTTCCTGTAAAACATTTGTTATGTGATTTCATAAAAAATTAACCCTTTTTCATTTTAATAAAATCCCACGGCACCGTCCAAAAGGATATATGTCTCCGGAAAACTGATCATATTGATGGTCATTCATACTGGTCCCAATTTGTTGAAAATCGCACGACTAATAGGTGAGATGAAATGAGACACGCTGTAGATTCGTTGTGTTGAATATTTTTTCAAAAAAGGACGCCGCTTGGCTTCAAAATACTGCTCCCCTTCTACATTTTAGAAGAAAATTCGTGAAAATCGCTCCATAAATAAAAAATGTATGTGAGTGGCCCGCTTTCCAATGGGTCACTGTGTATATGTCGCCATTTGAAGTCCTCCAAATGATGTAAAAAGCGATTTTTAGGCATCCTTCAGGGAAGTAGCCACTTACCGAGCGATATTTCTTCAAGAAAACAGCACTTTTTTGGCCTTGAGTTACTTTTTTCCAGAACTGTGCTGGAAAGAATTACTCCATTATAAAATATTCATTAGGAAATAGGGTGTGAATATTATAACCAAATGTAGTCTTCTTATAACTCAAAACCGTAATTAAGAACTGAATATTTGATTATATTCTTTTTACCGACAGTGGAACTCGAGGCCAAACGGCAGCTATAATCTCGGACTGCATGTATCATTCATGAAAGGATTTACTGGGAGGCAACACCATGAATAACTTCAATCAACGATTCTACGAGATAATGCTCAAATACGTCGATTTTCACTTGATATGAGTTTTTAACCTTATCATATAGGCATTTCTTGAGCTTTTTTCCGGTGAATCTTTGGTTGAAAGAGTATCTGCTTCAATCCGTTTTCATGGGATTCCATATTTGCCATTTTTTTTTCAATTCAAAGTAAGAAACGCATCAAAGAATGATTGATAGTTGGGATATTGGTTGTCATAATCAAATTTCGATAACCAGTGATCAATAAATCGATAAATTTAAAAATTATACTTGTTCCTCATCGATGAAATCATCTCATCAATGCAGTATGGGGATCGAAGAAAATATTCCTCATTGATCACTTATTCCCTATGGTTGCCGAAAAAACAGTGTACGTAAGACGTCTGAAACATCCTTTTTTTGACACGCAGAATTCCACGACTCATCGAAACTAATAACATCTAGACGTGCTTTGTGAACTACTGTTACCTAACATAGCCGGAAAATTGCTGCTAGACCAAGAAATAAAGAAATGCATACTACCCGTTTCAATTCCATTTATTCAATGAAAACTGTTCTACAATACGAGGTGTATAAACAAAAATCTTCTAAAGGGGTTATTGGACATGATAAAAATGTAAAACATACAATGAAGAATGCTTAGATACGCCGAAGAATTACCCTCCAAGGGAGCACTCAGAGGCGGCCGATGCAGGCCCCGCCAATGATTTTTGTCTAACAACCCTGATGACAGTCATGAGGGAGCTGACTCCTAGGAGTATACCTTTAATCCAGCTCATGTCAGTGAGTTGCCCAGGACAAAAAAGATTGATCGTCGATTGCTACCTTGTTCTCTTTAATTTAGCATTGTTTGTGTTGGGAAATGAAAATGAAAAACCAACTTTTAAAAACTCTCTGTGAAAGACTCTTTGAGGGATGAGGGGTGGGATAGCTGTGGGAGAGCAATTGGGATCTAATAGACTGATTTCGTACAGGCAAATAGACTAGTTTTGTAGCTAGCCGATAGGCGTGCTAAGTTGTCAGGGTCCTGCTTCATGGTAATGCTCCGATAGTCGTTCAGCCGGGCCACATAGCGTTTGGTCTATACGGCCCGGCCAAACGACTACCGTTCTACATACATACTACCCGATTTATTCCGGAAAAGTGCTACTTTCAAAGAAAAATCGTGCGGGAAGTGAGTACTTTCAGAACGAAAAAACATAATTTATGATGTTCTGCCAACATTTCATAGTCAGGTGGATTTACAGAGTTGAGGGAGTTATAAATTGTAACGCAATCATACAGTTGAACTAAAGGATGATTAGTATCGTTATTGATTGCAGTCTTGGACGTGGAAGCTTTCGAAAGGCTGCTAGGTCCGTGCATGGAGATCATGAAGCGGAACATAAACGACTACGAGGAACAAATGCTTAAAATATTCGGCACGAAACACAATATCAAGGATATCCGATGAAGCGAGCCCCGAACACACCTGCCCAGACAATATCCCACTTCACTTCCTGTTTGTATTGATTCTCAAAAAAATATTACATATGTTAGATAAAGTAAACGGCGGTGTTTACATGGCAGCAAAGTATGTCGGTTTAGTGGAAGGGCAGAAAATTTCTCCTAGTCATATGTATATATTTATATTTGAATATGTTGCGAAACGTGAGACAAGTCCCTGTGCTTCGATGTTAAATGCCGGGTGCGGGTGATCTGCCGGCCAGAAATCCCGTTGGAAAAAAAAATGTCCCGTAACTTGAGCATTGACTTTCGCCACTTTGTTTGTTCCTTATGAGTGATTATACAGAGCCCAATAAAACAAAGCGACAGACAGGCAGTTCCCCATGTTTAGGTAAGTTTCTGCAGCCTGATGTTATAATTATCGTTGAAAATCTGTTCGATCGGTCTTCCCAAAATTCTTCACTTCACATGTAGGTATAAATTTCGAAATGAGACAGATGCAAATAAATTTAACTTGTTCTATGTTTGTTTGTTATTATTTGTGTATGATTAGTATTAACGTGTTCAGAGTACCTTTTTACTTTATTTTTTGTGCCATCTTTATTTATTATGAAGCAATTTATCCTTTTTCTGCTGAATGAAAAACCTAGCTGGTGTCACTGACTTTTATACATTACCTATCAGGACCTTTTTTTTATTACACACAGGGTGTCCCAAAACTTCTTTGTTCAGGCTATAATTCTGATAGGTGGACATAATCGAGGCCACAAGAATAAGTTAATTTGATTCCTTCAGCTCTTCATTAACTGCCTCCCAAATGAAGCACAACTGCCCTATTCCTCGACATTTTTAATAGTCCTTTACGAATTTCAACTGGCGCCTCATTGGAGAGACATTTTCATTACAAATTGAGTGGACCATTTAATTTTATTTATAAATTCTCGAATCAGAAAACCCTTATTTTACTAAAAAGGTAAGTGGAACCAATTTAGCTCATACTGGGCTATGCTCAAGAACTTTGATAATAATAATTTATTTTCATCATTCAATATTAAGTTCTTTCTGCGAGCCATTGCCTGTACAATTAAGTCATAAACACACCAAAAACAAAATCATCCCCATGACATCTAAAATTTAGTTGTTGAAGGTAGTTGAAAATAAATTATCATAGTTATTATAAACAAGTTTTATGAAAATAAGCTCAGTAAATGATGACAAGCTAGGTTTTTCATGGGTCAGTCAATTGTCTCAGTATAATGTGCAAGAAGTAAGAAATCTGAGTTGCCTCAAGTCAAAGTGCCAATTGTAAAAGATTCTATCTCTAAAAATTAGTTCGTTTTGCACAAGAGGCTCAAGAATTAATCAATATTTATAATATCATGTTTCTTTCTCCCAATGAAAAAAAATCGTCATTTTGCTAAAAAATCAGCAATGCATATTTCAGACCCCAAAAATTTAGTCCATAAAATATATTCCATGTTCTGAAACTTTCAAATATTATGTGTAAAACGGACCAATTCAATTGTTTTTTTTTTGTTTTCAAATGATTTCCGGTTCCAATTCGGATGTTTGCAATGATAAGATTGCTCAATTTTCGTTGAATTTGTTATTTTATTTGTTTTTTTGCGCTTTTCAAATATTGCTGTTTTTGTTCATATTGTACATCATCTTCATCAAATATGAGCAGTTATCTACTACCTACCTTAAAACTGAGCGTTATTGATACCTTCATTGAATAATTATCTTTCATGTTAAATAAGAATCAAACCATCGGAGAAGAATATAGTACCTGAATTGAGTTCATAAATGTATAGGCTCATTTTTGAGGTTTGCTGCTCATACATCGCGTCTGAAATTTTTGCTCAATAATTGTGTTTATTGAAATACTTTAACTTATTCCATGTATGTGTTTTTGTTAGTATTAGATGAATCTAGTCTTGTAGGAATCTCTAGTGTTTTTTTTTTAACTCAAGTGCAATAAACATCTCTGTATATTCACTCTTTCACTATTCCACATTTTTTTATTTATTTATTGAATTTGGAAATGAATCACAATATTGATTTAATTTCTTCTCAACATATTTTTATTTATTTATTCACGTTGTGAATTTAATAACTTTATGAAGAGTACTTGTTATTGTTAATTGTAAGATATTACAAGAAAATCTAATATCAAATGTAATAAATGTGATCTGATGAGTTTCTTATGTGTATAACGCCCAATTTGAAAGTGTTTATGCATCAGAAATTTACATGTTCATGATATATTTTAAGGCTGAACTGAAGTATTTATAATATACAAAACAATCTTGAAAAGATTATAGTGAATTGGAAGGTAAAGAGCATGGTAAAGAGTGAAAGTTTGTTGAACGAAATATATCATTGATTGGAATTGCGAAGTGGGTAAAGAGGAAATAAAATAGGGCATACAAAAGTGTCTATGTATTAAACCTATCTATGATTTTCTTGAGAAATTTCATATTATCGCCTCTTCAATATAAGCTGCCGTGACGGACATAATCAATTGCTGATATTTCCACAGCCTGTACGTTAAAACGTGCATGCCAGCTTATTATTGAAAGGGCTATAAATGGTTTCGAAAAAATGTATTGGAGTATTGAAGTAGTTTAGTTTTCTATAATTTTGAATGTTTCCCTCGTAGCACTTTGGTACATAACATTGATAGAAACTCTAACAATAATTTAAAATAGGGAAGGTTGATTTCTTCTGGAAAGTAGTACCTATTATATTCCATCCTTATCCATAATAAGTAACTCGAAAAGTTACACATATCAAATAAGTGCAGGTGAATGGTCATTATAATAATAAGTCCTTGAATGTAACTTTTTTCGTATTTCCTTTTGTAGGATTTGTTAGACGTTTCTGCTTAAAACATTCAGAGCATGAAATCATGAAAATGAATGTACAGTTGTAAGTTAAAAATCTGGGATTATCCTTATCAACAATTATTTGAGTTGCAAAACTTCACAAAGAACAATTTTCCGATAGGGGCAATAAAACCTTGGATACCCAGAAATGATGAAAGAAGCAGTACTTTTCCATTGGAATTGTCCCTGAATAATGACTCATAGCAAATTCCATGGACAGGAACTGGTGGAGTGTTTCTGCACTGATCTTACTCGTTTATGTTAAGCAGAGGTAAATAAACACTCGGTGGATAAACACCCCACCAGTTCCTGTCAATGGAATTCGCCATAAGTGCAAAAATTATCCAGAACTGAACTGTAAACATTTTACCACCAAATTAAACAGATAGGCATTCACATATAAAACCTGCTATGGATATCTTATCAGTAATAAATGATTCTGTGTGATGGAATCTAAAATGCCATAAGGGCGGTGAATCTCAAGTGACACGGTGAATCCTAATGGAATAAATGCACCCTTAACAATCCAGGATTGATACTTAGATTGCTGAATCAAAAATATCTGGGCACAAGAAATTAAATATCAACCGTTTGACATTGAACTTTTTTAAAATAGGTTCCAATATTTGGTCTAACATGTGCCTCACAACAAATGTTGTTTGATTCAAGAGATATACTCATCACCAAAAATCTTTTGAAAAGCTTAGAGGTATTTTAATATTTTTGTAAAATAAATATGGAAATTAACGCCAAACTTCCCAAAATCAAATTAGATTTTACGACTTGGCTAGAAATGTTTGATTTAAACTCAACTATGCGAATTAACTTTTCCCTCACTTGAAATAGTAGGTATATCTCTGGACCAAACAGTAGTAGTTGAAGATCACACACACTAGCCACTTGAAGAAAAAAACCTATAGGCAAGGGCGATCCTAAGGTGAAGTTCTAGGGAAAGGAAGGTAATAGTCATTTTTGTCATGTTTTTCAAACTAGATATCAGTGTTGAGAATATCATATTCATTTTGTTAGAACCGCGTCACATTTTCCAATTTTTCATTGCATGCAAATTGCTACAATCAATGTATTTTTGTAAAAAATGCGACTTTTGCTTCTTTTTAAGTTATGAAACAGAAACATTCAATTTACATCTAATAATGCATTATTAAATCATGAAACAATCCACCAATTTTATCACTGCTTCAGCAATATGTATAGTCACAATAAAAATAGGTCCGGATCAATTTCTTGCAATGCAACCAAAAATACGGTTGATGTCCAAAATGACACTAGTGCGTAGTTGATTTTATTTTTACCATTTTTCATATGGATGAAATTTTAAATATGACCTGTTTTTATGCTTGGGGGAGGGGAATTTCTACCTCTAACCTCCCCCCCTTCCGTGTGACCGCCCTTGCCTATAGGACTTTTGGATTTTGTGCAATGCTTGCTAGTTTCCTTCTGGAAAAAAGAAACTATTCTAACAGATCCTACGTCTTTTTGTTCAGGGGTAAGTTAGCACAACTTCTTATATTTAAATGTGTAGGTGACTAGATAGATGTAATTCGTAGCAGCTTGTCAGTCAGTCATATCAGTATTGCTGAAGGAAAATAAATTTTCAAGATCGGATCATCCTATATGTTATTCGTCAAGTTAAATGTTGGTTGTTATATGGTATGTGTTCTCTTCTACATTATGATTATATTGTGATGCAATCATTTTCAGCTTCTTGCAAGAGAATAAAAATACCGCAATAGCTAATGAAATCTTCGATATGGAGGCTTATCAAGAAATGTATCAAAAACTCTATAGGGTTACACAGGGTATCGGGCCACCCCTGTAACTTCTGCATTTTTAATCGGATTTTTCTGAAATCTGGTTATAAGCAACCATTTCGGGTTTGATCACATTACAATCCAATATGGCGGAATTTCGTTTTTCTGGAGAAATGCCAGCAACTTTGTTTATTCAAATGGAACACCCTGTATATTTTTACGTATTTATAATAAAATGTAATTTTTCGAAATAATTGAAATTAAAATTATTTTGTTATTTAAACCTCGTGGATAAACGAGATTTGGTACAATAAGTCGTACATAAACAGAGAAACATATTTTTTAAA